ATGTCCATTGGAGTTAAACTATCATACTTTTTTAATGGAAGAAGTTTTCTTGAGACTGGTCTGATTTTTAAATTGTAAGCGTAATAGATTGATCTCATCTGGAGTATTATTAAAAATCAGAGAGCGGCGGACAGCTATTTTACCCTAGGATGGGACTCCACAGTCGTACTGCAACTAAGACCTAACAATATACCAGCTGAAGCACTGAAGTCACGCATAGAAGCAACTGCAAACATACTTTACGTTCTATTCAGGAAGATTTGGGAGGAAGAACATGTGCCGGTGACAGAATGGAAAGAAGAATATCTCATTAAGATACAAAAGAACGGTGATCTGAGCAAATGTGAGAACTATATAAACATCACACTACTATCGGTACCACTAACCGATTTCAACAGAGTGTTGCTGAATCAGATTACAGATTCAGTAGATGCCAAACTTCGAGATCGACAGGCTGGATTCCGTAAGGATCGGTCGTGCACAGACCAAATCGCCTCACTAAGGATCATCGCTGAACAACCAACTGAATGGAACTCGTCACTATACATCAACTTCATCGACTATGAGAAAGCATTCGACAGTGTGAACAGGAGAACATTATGGAAACTTCTTCGACTCTATGGAGTGATTGTCTGAGAAAATCCTTAACATCATACGGAATTCATACGACGAGCTACACTGCAAAGTGGTGCATGAAGGACAGCTGACAGATGAATTTCCAGTAAGGAACTTTGTAATAATGTTCTAAAGTACTTGGTTAGCAAAGTTTTTCACTGCAAATAGCAGATTATTATAACTCTTACTAGTTTACTTAAAGCTTCTTATAAAAATGAATTCCTACTACGGGTAGTAATAGATCAGTGAATCATGATCTCCATGAAGTTTAGAGGTTTGGATTCCGGTTGATATCTGGATCCGATGAGTTCGAAAGTAAAATGAGATAGCTGTATAATACTCGTTCGTTTATTAACAATATTAATGAGAATTATTTTCAAAGTACCACAATAAAATAATTGTTCCAAATATCTTACATATTTTCCCTGAATTTAGTAGATAAAGTGAATTGTCGATGTGGACAAAAACTGCCAAATGTATTAGGCATTTGAATATCTTGATTGTATACAATCCAAGACTATTTTGCTGTCATATTGGTTTTACATCGTTAGTTACCATGTATCTTAATAAATTTGACATAGTTTCGTATGTAAAGGGATGCCGACTAGTAGCACAGAAACATTTTGCCCAAGCCTCCGGAAATAGTCTTAAAAAAGAAACTGAAATACAAGCCAGGTAATTCGAATATTGTAAGTCACAAGTCAACACGGTAAATTATAAACCGTAGAACATTTAGTAACATTTTTCTTGAAATTTTCATTGAGTAGAAAAATCCAAAAAATTCGGTGATAAGGAATGAGTTCTTCATCAAGAGAATAGTCAATTTTGCGATATAATGTGTCCTAGTGTTTAATAAAATATTGAATTCATTGATTTGTTTTTATAAAAAGAAAACATTTCAACAAAGCATTAATAGCCAAAGTGCTAATGGACAAACGCAATGTGACACAGTACACAAAACAGGATACAATGCAGACAATCGATTAAAAACCACTTTATTGATTTCTGTGCTTATTCATATATATATATATATATATATATATATATATATATATATATATATATATATATATATATATATATAGGAGTAGAGAGGATTGTACAAACTGGGAACAAGTGTGGATCGTGCAACAAACTATTTTCTTCTAAAGCAAATCAATAAAATACTAGTATTAAATACAGTACTTTGTATTTTAAGCAATGAATCAAACATATTGAGCATAAGATAGAACATGAAGTAAGAAAAGAAACGTACTAGAGAAGTAAAGAAATCAATTGTATGAATAACGAATGCTTGGTCGTACTCACATACATGTTTGTGTATGTTATTTAAAACAAGTTACTTTTTTCTTATAATCTTTTTGTTGTTTTCTTATTATGTCTGATTTCTTTTAGAGCATAAAAAATTGCTTTACATGTCCGTGTTCACTTACTAATTCTCTCATTGTAACTATACTTGTTTAAACGTGTTCAGATTGATGACCTCAACTAGCAAACAAAAATAGATAAAATTCACATTTAATCTCTAAAGATTTAGATGAAATTAAAAAATGAATTCAAGCTATGGTAAGCAGAGATGGATAGTGGCTAGCAGTGGAATCCAGGACGCGCGTTTCGTCCTATTTGGGACTCGTCAGCTGGATGTGCCTGCATCTCAGAGTTGATGTTCACTCTGGGACTCGAACCCAGTACCCTCGCTTCAAACGCCATCTCTGCTTACCATGCTTGTGAATTAAGGTATATCGAGGCAATACGCACAGTATGCACATATGCCAATTAGAGACTGACCAGTTGCAGTCCTAAACACATCGATGGGAAGATCCAAACAAACAATACTAAGTGAATTGAATTTAAGCTAGTTTAGAAGGTAATAATGAAGAATTACTACTACTACTACTACTAATGATAATAATAATAATAATAATAACAGAGACAAGATTACCAAGAGATTTTGGATTCTAAAATTTAATACATTTATGAAAATAAATACAAATAAATCAGATAGTCTACTTAAAGTTCCATATGTTAAGGTAAATGTTCTTTATTCCTCATTGTTGATATTTAGGACAGTAATTGATTATCCACTCTCGGTATATATGTTCATGTTGATTGTAATGTCTCGATGTACGCATTAAGTCACAAGTATTTAGTATATATGGTGTATGACTGTCAGTGAAATCTAGGATCCGCGTTTCGTTTTATTTGACACTTCTTAGTTGAATGTATCAGTATTTCAGCACTGATGTTTACATTGAGGCTTCAACCTAGTACCTTCTACTTCAAATAACCAACGCGTTATCCACTGATTTACTGGATCCAGCACTAGTTCCATGTGCTTTTTATGATTACTGTTCAGTCTGGAAAATGATGATCATGATTAGGTTGGTGTAATTTTCGTTTATCCTTAAGAAACATTTTTTTTTAAAAAAACGAAGATTTGACTTAGACTAATGATATTCCAGTAGAACTTTGACAGTCAGTGATTTATGGCATAGGGAAACAAATAAGAGGTTGTTTTTCAAGTGTAATCCATTTACATCAACATAACTAGTCAATTTCAAAAAAAATAATTTCGAGACCTAGCTTTTTTTAACAGTTTCTATCACAATTACTACGATTTCTCAATGGTATTGTTAAAACAATCATATATTTCAAGATCTCATAGATACAGACAAATCGCTATAGACCATTACATGAAGTATGTTGATAGATGGCGTGATTGATTTAATGTTTTTCATCAAATTTTCAAAATAATTCAGTCTTTTGAACTTATTAGAAGTACAGATTTCATTTAAAAATTGTGTATATATATATTTATATATGCGTTTGTTTATGGAATAATCACACTACATTATAAATTAGTCCCAAATTACATTTAGTTCAAAGGGGTAGAATTTTTATGAATGGAGAATTACTACGTATATTTGCATATGTATATGTGCATGTATATATGTACCAGTAATCATAGTTACATGATAATGTTGGATATACATATTCACAATGATTCCTAATCATTTGTTTATTTATCATGAAATCGAAATTCTTTGTTTCACTATAAAAAGTAATCGATTATTCAATAAACAGTCAATAAAGATTGCATGGAATAATGAATAGAGACTATGTAACGAATTCATAGTTATTATCATTACCACAGGAGGTTTGAGACAATTGTTCAATTTGAAGTTATTTTTTCTACCTGTAACTGGTTTCAACCAATGAAAAGTAAGGGGGAGTCGTATGGCAACTGTTTTGTCCTAGTATGGGACTCGACTCTTCCAGAGGTTAAACTCAAGACATTCATATTTTTAACTTCTGTTAATCTAAGGTATTCAGTGACAATTATCCATTACTACCTAGGATACCTGTCTAAATCCCAGAGTGTTTGGACTGAATGAGTTAAGGCTTCTTATTGAGACTTCGAGAATTCTATTTGAGTTTACTCACTAGTGTACATCTGTTTATTATTAGCATAAGGTGTTGATAGAGTTTGTTTACTTCGAAGTCGAATTACTTCACAAAGTGACTTCGGAGACAAAATTAATGAAAATCAGAATGGCATTTAACAATTGTTTCGCCACAGTTTGAGACTCTTTATCAGTGTTCACCAAAATGATATAGACTTATTAGAGCTATTGTATATTTTATTATCGTAGAAACAATGGGATAAAAATGAAATGTTGAAGATGGACCAGATGAATTTAATACCTCTCTCCATGACAATTTAACACAGTATGTAAACGAAAGATATCAATGTCGTACAACCCAAAAATTTAGTCATAACTAACTTAGAAGCAATATGTGGACAAAAAATGACACTAAATTATTTAGTATTTTCATAGTTGAAATCATGAGTCAATTGAAGCTAGACCACCGGGGAAAACCTGGAAGCACTGGATGGCCGTTTCATCCTATTGTGGGACTCCTTATCAGTGAGCATCCACGACCCCGCACTCGCGAAGTTCGAACTCAGGACCTATTAGTCTTGCGCCAGTGTACTTAACCGATAGACCACTGAGCCGGTATCCAACGGTGTTAATGTTTAACTTCAACCAATCCACGATGTTTGAGCAACCGTTCACCAATTGTCTTCAGTGAGTTGATATCTCACAACAGACGTGATTTGAACTCCACTGGTCACTGAATGAAGTGAAGTTCATCATTTAGCCCCAATAAATTCTCCATCAGTAAACTATCTTCAAACTTTATCACCTAATATAAACTAAGACATTAAATAGGAATAATATATTTGTAAAATCTCAGCGAATGAATTTTTTTAAATTAAATCCAACGTTTCGCCTGGCAATCTGGTCCAAGCTTTTTCAAGGAATTCCTATTTAATGTCTTACTTCAACTCGGCGCTCAAATACTGTGAAACTATTCGTTCTAATTTAGACGAGAGTTCTTATAATATAAACTAAGTTTAATTTTCAAAAGTAAGATCGAAGATAGAACTAATCTTAGGGCTGATCCGTTACATGTTTTTCTCTCTTATTATTATTACGACTATTATAATTATTATTATTGTTTCGTTATTAGTATCACTACTATTAACATTAGATGTAAACACTTTGAATGAAATAGTTTCCTAATTTGTTGGTTTGTATGTATGTATATGTGTGTGTTTAGTGTTCTTTTGTCAATAAATGTCCATGATTAGTAAACAAATTAAAATTTCTATTTGAATAACTTGTAGGAGAATCACATGGATCATGAAATAATAAAAATAAAAAAAAATCAACTTTCATTTTAACATATGAATTCATAAAAACAATATGTATTTATTTATTGAGACAAGTAAATGTGTTCTTTTTTCTATCCATCTTAGCTTTGATATGTTAGTTGTTAAGATCACTATGGTTATTATTTAGTAATGATATTATTCATTGTCATTATTATTACAAAACAAAATTAGAAAATCATATTCATGATCAAAGATTCAAAATTACCGAAATAAATGTCATCATTATTTTAAATTATAAATAGTTTACTATCTATCACTCAATATCGTTTATCGCTCTCTGTCTCTCTCCCTTACTTTCTCCATTTTGTATACGCACAAAAGATATTAACTATCACAAATAAACAATTCAAAAAAAAACAAGCTCGTATCTACATAAATGTAACAAATGAAGTATATAGGTATATATATACACCCATATTTCCAATGTCCAGAGTTGTTGAATCCTTATTTACCTTTTTTTCATTTTGAAGTGTTGATTGACGAATGCAATAACATGTATACTTTTTTTCATCTAATATACTTAAAATAAATGTCTAAATCTAGTCCACAATAATAAGACCATTACTATTATTATTACTATTATTTTACTTATGATATTTCAGTAGTAAAGTGTACAATTAAAATAATATAATGATTGTAACCAATAACTTAACTATCTGTTAAGTTTATGTAATAAGTGAAATTAACGAAGATCAAATAAATACAAAACAACTGTCACTGATTTCATTATATTTTGTTTATATGACGTATTCGGTTGTATTGCGGAAGATTAAACTGAATGTCTAATGATATATATATATATATATATATATATATATATATATATATATAAATGAATTTTCTCAGAGATTTTGCCTACCTTTCTTGCTTATTAACAATCCATATGCTTACATACTTAAAAATATGAATTATGCGACACTTTTAAAAATTCTTGATGAATACCATTACTGGATAACATGAATCACGGCTTCATAGTAGGTAAACTAAAGGTACAGTCAAAGTGTATTTTACTTTGAATTACTGAATTAATGTTATGTATAGGTATATTTGTATGAAAAAGGTGTCATTTTTTAAGTATTTTTTAATCACTTATTGAACATCTACTACTTGAATGTTATATCCCCTGGTGAATCATGAATGGTAAATCTGAGGTCTATTATGGACAAAGGTAATATGCCTAATTCCTATTGTTTAGTTGTTAAATAACTGACCTAATTGTATTCGTGTTCCTCTTACCGTAACCTTATTTTGACCTTTGAACTATTATTATTGATTACTTTCCCCCTATCCATAGCCACATTGGCCAATTACTGTACAAATGTTATTTTTCTATTTTTTGGTATAATTGGGTCTGTTTGGTTAGTATATATAACCCAGTGTGCTTGTGAATAATGATTCATATTACCAAGGCTGTTATTTGTGTTCTGGACTCAACTGGCTGGGCTAGGCAGTTAGGAAGGACCGAATAGCAATCAAGACTGCTCGTACGTATTTTCTGTATCATTGCACGTTTCATATACAATAACGATTGTTATACGTTTATAACAATTGGCGACGGGGACAAAAGTGAAAAATGACGCTCCCTTCTGACCGCTTACAGTTGCTATTTGACCGACATTTGGAGTTCATGGTCAAACTACGCACACAGCTTCTGGATCACCAATGCTTTGCATACGCGTCGGAAGTGGATGGATTAATCAATGAATTTCACGCAGAACTGGAAAATGATCACAGCCTCCATGAATCCTCGACCAGCCGCAACTCAAACGAAACAGCAGTCTCTCAAGAGACGCCCGGTTGTCCAGCACTATCCATTTCAGAAACGTGCCCGGTAGTGGATTCAAACACCACTATCCCTGAATTAGCAGGTCCGAACAGTGATGCTCGCAGCTCTCAGCAACATGATGCCATGTCAAATGCTCATGAAATTGATGCAGTACCCGCCCACGAAGAAATGGGAAGCAAATCGAGCAGTATATTGAATACAGAGGCGCCAAATGAAATTATTCATGATACGAAAAATTTTTCTAATGAATCTAATGATCAAAATTATCTAATTGTTCTGCCAGATCCCGATTATTTCGCTGATTCATATGTTCCTGTTCAAATCTCTTATAAAAATGTGAGAAAAATATCGAATGTATTAAATGATAATCAAGAATCCAATACAACTCTCATAGATACTGATTATCCTAATGATTCATTATCTACTAATGAGGTTCCGAGGGAATTCAAGGAAACTATTTCAGAAGAATCAAATGTTGGTGACCTCGAATCAAATGTCATCGATCCTCATGATCTCGTCAGTTCTAATGCATTCCCTGTTAAATGTGACAAACATATCGCATTAATAGTAACTTGGCTATATGAGGATCCAACAGTCTTTCGTGGGGGAGGGTGGATTCGAGAAATTTAAAATCCGGTTATCAACTCCGGATTTCTCAAAAAGGGGAGGTGTTATATCCCCTGGTGAATCATGAATGGTAAATCTGAGGTCTATTATGGACAAAGGTAATATGCCTAATTCCTATTGTTTAGTTGTTAAATAACTGACCTAATTGTATTCGTGTTCCTCTTACCGTAACCTTATTTTGACCTTTGAACTATTATTATTGATTACTTTCCCCCTATCCATAGCCACATTGGCCAATTACTGTACAAATGTTATTTTTCTATTTTTTGGTATAATTGGGTCTGTTTGGTTAGTATATATAACCCAGTGTGCTTGTGAATAATGATTCATATTACCAAGGCTGTTATTTGTGTTCTGGACTCAACTGGCTGGGCTAGGCAGTTAGGAAGGACCGAATAGCAATCAAGACTGCTCGTACGTATTTTCGGTATCATTGCACGTCCATATCATTTACGAGTTTGATATACGTTTATAACATTGAATTACTTAGATGACTATAGAGATCTCTATAGTATGGGTATAGATTCTCGTTAAGAAAATGACATCTACTGGACAATAATGAATAGTTGGGCAATTGTTTAATTTTAGTTTTAAACTCTTCGATGATATATATAGTCAACATCCTACTAATTTGTCATTGAAGTTCACCTAAAATTCTTTTGATGATAGGTGTAACAATTTTTCATAGATGAACACTTATCTAGTATTTTTTTTATACAGTCGAACATTTTTTACTACTAAAAGTCTATACTACTATATTAAAACATCCTCCAATAGGCTGAGGTTTCTTTTATGGAAATTTGAAATTACCACTGTTGGGTCCCCTCTTAGTGGTTTTTACGCGAGACCGAAGGTCTTTTCTATGATTCCCGCTTGCGAGGTGATAGTTGCGCTCTGTTAAGGTATCAGGTGTTAGGAAGAAATGGTCGTCCAGTGCTTTTAGGTTCTCAATGTTTGTCTACTTTAGTTCGTTTCATAATTTCAATGACATTTCTTTCAGTTTAAGATTCAGTTAGATGAAACTAAGAAACGATGTTTTGGGTAGTTTAGTGTTAAATGTTTTGTTGATCTGTAAACAGAAATCATAAAATCATAACGGTAAATCCTTAGTTGATTCTATCTGTCAGTAATCGGTTTTGTACAATATCAACAATAACTCAGTTATTAAACATCTTTTATTCACTGAATACAAATTCATGTAGACATTAATTACTAAAAAATGATCACTGACTTATATTTACCTTATTCTAGGTAATAACTATACTGGATTAGAAAACGTAACTTCATCAGTTAGTATGCCTGTAATTTTATCTGTATGACTTCATAGTATAAAAGTTAATCATGGAAATAAATTGAAATCGAGTCGCAGTTTACATAGCTTTCATTAATTGAATGTTGTCGAAAATTTTAAAAATATGTAGTCCAAATATCGTCAATAAGAGTTAACAACAATTTTGGTATCATCCTCCATGTATAGAGAAATATGCGAAGGTTTAAGAATTATGCTATTCCAAAGAAATTAACTACATATTGGCATAAATATTGGTTAATTCGAACATATAGTTAAAAACAGTAGTCCATTGTGACATGCAATTTGTTCCTAATTATCATTTATCGTTCTGATCAGTATTTTTCGTTTCGTTTTCCTTACAATCTTCCTTTATATGCCTCTAATCTTGTTGACTATCTTTATCGATGTGTTAAAATGACCAATATTACTTTAACCTTGAACCTCTGATACCTGTTAACTGCTTAGAAATATTACTTGGAGGGCTAGATTGCATAAGATTTATATGTAGTAGGCATATTTTAATTGGATCGTCTAGATGAATTGATACTAAGTTGTTTTCATTGCTGTCATAAACGTATTTTAGGGTATTTATCTTATTTATTGTCTAATCCTACAACCAACGTTTCACACTTTGTCCAATTTCCAATTATTCTCAGTTGTTCTTATTTATATAATTAATTAATCATTATACAGCTTTGATAATGGTAACAAGGTTAGTTTTTGATATAAACGATGAAAATGGTGACAAGAATTTGGATGTGAATAATGATAACAAAATCTATCAAGATTTACTGAACTCATCAAAAACCCCTCGTATTCAGTTAACAATTATCTGTGATAAACTTTGTCAGGTCATCACCTTTGAATTCAAAGCAACTATGTACATCATAAACTCTTTAAAACCATAGAAATATAAATTCAATAGAATGTTTTCCTTGTATAATTAATCCTAATTATGAGTTTATTTTATTTTGTCACAAAACAACATTGTTTAAAAAAAATTATTTTTTTTAGTTTCATATAAATAAAGAAAACAGCGATGCTAATGAATATTAATAATTTCATGGAATCAGTCATACCAAAAACGTCAACACCAACAAAAGAGTTAACTGGAACTGATTATATCGATGAGTCATCTGATCACGATATGATTAAAACAGATTTATTGAATTCTTACACTTTGCCTTCAGTTGCGGGCTCGAGGAAACTTACTACTAGCAAACATATTAGTAGTCACAATAGTAACAGATCAATTTTAAAAGATAGTGAAACGGAAGCTTCGGCAGAATGCTTATCAAAAGACGAATCTTATCATAAATCGAACAGTTCATCAACGAATTACAATGGTACTGAATTTTTACAAGGTTATACACTTATAAACAATCAAGAGAATCTAGAAGCTAATGGGTTGAAAATGCGTCTTTTAGCGACACTGGCTGATATGATTCCACATGATGAAAGTTTAAGTTTACGTCTACTGATGAGCTACACAATTGATGATCAAGAAAGTGAGTGTGTTGTTATTGATGAGACACTGTGTCGAGGGGGGAAGCGTAATGAAACCAACAATAATTGTTTTCAAAATTCTTTAGATAAACCAAAAAGTAGCAATGGAATTCATGAAATGCTTCTCAATGAAAAAAAGCCTATATTGAGTGCAATATCTCTTGAATCTTCGACTACACAACAAAGTACTTCAAATGAAGCTGATGCATTAGACTTGTCTTTACATAATGAAACATCTGATTCCATGGACTATCATACAGGTCCGTTGAATACAAAATCAACAAAACAAGATTATAAGTCACAAGGAATTATTGACGGTGTAATTAGCGAAATAAAATCCTCAATCAATACATGTTGTATACCATTAAGTTTGTTATCATCTAGCCCTGTACAGTCCAATATGAATACGACGAAAGCATTGGATAAAATTGTGACTACAACATCTGCAGCTAATTCGATTAATCAAATTCCATTGTTTGATACGTCTATATTAGCATTACTTCCATTATTACAGCAACAACAACAGTCTCAACAAATACAGTCAAACCAACAAAGTACGAATACTTTAACATATCAAAATGTTTTAAATCCAAGTTCATTGTCATTGCTTCCTGCCACTATTCCTACTTCAATGACAACAATAAGTACAACGAAATCAAATCCTGTCACCTATAATTATACGGGTATGTCGACAAATGCTAATTTGCTATTCAGTCAATTATATCCAACACAATTGCAACAAAATATTCAACAAACTAATAATTTAATTACAACACATTTGAGTGCTATAATACCAAAACAAACAGAAGCAACGACAACAGAACCAGCTTCGACATCAGTTTCGAATACAATCGTAGGTTCATTGACAAATAATGCAGTTAACACCCAGTCTCTTTTAAATACAGCATCTGTTATAGGATTCCCATTAATAAATCCATTTTCACTCCATACAAATATTACTAATAATAACAGTATCAGTAACAACAATAGTAATACTGATCAATTTAATGCATTCCTAACATCTACACCGTTTCTGGGAACAACATCAACATCTACTCTTTCACAAGTATTACCGACACAATCATCACCATCGAATATTACATCAATCAGTTTAGGATCGACAAATACCACTGCTACATTACTCAATGTCAAGGATAAGCAAACAGGTTTAATTGAAACTGTAGGTATAATGCCAAGTATAAAACATTTAAATCAACCAATTGCATCACTGATCAATCAGTTAACTCTCAATGCTTCGTCTACTAATAATAATAACAATAATAATAATATTTCACTTAAAACGCTTTCAACGTTATCCCAACTATTCAATAGTAACCTCCTTACAACAATATCAACTCCTAATTCTATAAATCATAATATTACTAGTAGTAATACAAATTCTACAAATTTCAATACAGTAAATAATCTAAATATACCAACAATAATAAATACCAATATTAATAATAATCATACTTCTTTGGATAATGGAACAATGAATAATAATGAACTAATAACAATAGAGAAAACTCATACTAAATCATCTTCAAGTGCAAATAAATTATCGAATAGTTCTAGTCCATTATATTCAGTAAATAATCATTCAACAGATAAAATGTCAAAATTAACTTCTACGAAATATCATAAAAATGAGAATATGAAATTATCAGGTCAACAATCTAACACTACAACCACTACTACTACTACTACCAATGCTACAACTACTAATAGTAATTTTTTATTTGGTCGAAGATTAGTTCTTAGTCGTCGTTTTATTTGTAATCAATGCCGTCGTAATTTTTCATCATTAGCTGAATTAAATCGGCATACAATTGAAGCGCATAATTCATTTCGTTGTACAATTTGTTCAGCACATTTTACACAAAGATCTAATCTGCAACGACATTCATTGAAACATGTTGGTTTTAAACCATTTACATGTAATCTATGTAAAAAAGAATATTATCGTAAAGATCATTTAGTTAGACATATTGAAGTAACACATCCAACACATGATCCTAAAATGAATATCACTGTTCATTTAACATCATCAGAGTGTTTAGATTATTTGGATAGATTACAAGCTGGAAAACAATCACAATCACCATTATTACATCATAATCAAGCGGAGAATAAAGAATCAACGTCTAGTTTTAGTTCAGATGTTACCACAAATATTACTACTACTACTACTACTGCTACTACTACTATAAGTACGGGTAGTAGTATTAAAAACAGTACTGCTTCTGATATATGCAATAAGAATAGTATCTACAAAGACGATTTTGATTTAATGAATGAAGAATCCATGAGAATTGAAGAGGCTAAATTAGAAACACCAGATATTGAAATGAACGGTGACAATGATATCAATAATAGTAATAATGATGAAGATATTGAAGAACAATATTACAATATGACCGATTGTAATGAAATTAGTTAACCATAATCGATTACTGAATTAAAAACGAACAGTCAATAAGTGTAAAAAAGACATTTTAAAGCTATTTCATCGAAATTTACAAAACAGTTACAAGTAAATATATATTCTATTTTCGTGTGTATTTACTGGCACAACGTGCATCTGATAATGCACCGGTCTCTGTGTTATTACAGTTTACTAATTCCTAAAAACACATCGAAATCCACTTTCTTCTTTTCCTACTAAAATTGCATTTATGATAAACACCTAGTGTTATGAATAACATTGAAATCTGTCGGTCACTTTTGAAATAGCATTCAGCATTATTATGTATTTATATAGAGGGATACGTGCTATTGTGCAGTTCCACTTTTCCAAGTGCTTAACTAATTACATAAAGTAAAATGGAATAAATGAAATGAATATTAAAAAATAAATCTCAGTCAAAGTTAGTTCCTGTGATTAATTAATTCTTCCAATCTTTTTTTTAATGATAAAGCACTTTTTTGTATTCTGTTTCACTGGATAACAAATCATTCATTTTTATACATGCATGTGTGTTGGGTCGGTTTAAACGAAACGTAGACCTTATTCAACATTCCACTTGTATGATGAAAAATGTGACGCTACATTAAGAGCGAATTTTTTGTTTCTACTTCTTATCTGTCTTTTTACCATGCAAACATGTTTTTTTATAAGGTTACTTTTTTGCTTTCATTCAATGAGTTTGTAATTTTTATATTTTATTGACAGTTACTTCTATCATTCCTTAATGATATTAATGTTATTACCACCACAAGAAACCAACTTATGGTACCGATAATCAACATTGTCATATCTAATTCATGTGTTTTACGCTCAGTAACTCCGCTTTGTGAAACTGAAGTTATTTAGTAGTTCGTAATGAAAGAAACACCAATAGAGAAGTGGTTATTCTAGACATATCTTTGATATTAATGTCATTTTAAATTGACAATTGTTTGGGAGAAAAAGAAATGTAATTTATACCTATTTGCATGATACTACCATGAAGTGTATGTTCGAATATACCCTAAAAGGTTAGTGTTTTGTTAAGGATCTTGAGAGACTGATACATAATTAATCAGTTTATGTAGCACATTTACGAAAAACTGATTGGTCATTAAGTGGTGACCTAAGTCATGTTTGTCTAGACCTTAGTGTTGATCGAATTTTACGGATTCAATTACAATGTGACCACTAGTCTAAGTGACTCGATGTAGTGTGAGCTGTGTTGTGTTAAGTGGTACTCGACATGAAACCCTGGACTTGGGTATCGTATTATTTATCACTCAACAACAAGGTGCATCTGTGATTTCGAAGTAAATGATGTTTCTCGATGGATAAGAAATCCTTAACGCTCAGCTTCAAAGCTCAAGGTAATACCACTGAGCTATTCAGGCACTGACTAACCTTTTTTTTACAACTAAGATGGTTATGTTGATTAATAATGGAATAGGAATCAATGTCCAGGGTTACCCATACACAAAATTTAACCACCTAAAGTAAGAACGGTTACGGATGCATTTACAGAATAAAATCAATCCATTATATATGAACGAATCGTACATTCTAGAATCAAAGGTTGGTTAACTTCTTTTTTAAACAGCTACATGAACGCAGATATCATATTAGGCAGACCGCAAGTACAAAGTGTTATTAATAAAATACTGATATACCCAATTTATTGGTGAAGCTAATATTTAATAATCAGTGCTAACAATGTCAATGAGTGTAAGTGCGCAGTTTTTTACTGATGCATTGCTATCAGGAATCGGATAACTTCAAATCCTAGGAAGTGCTGGACCACAAGATACACCAGCATAAGGAGTGAATCTCTGCTTATACCCTAAACAAGATTAAAAAGGAGAAAAATAAAACAGTAATGAACAACAGCCGAACAAGAGCGGAGAAAGTCAAGGCACATGCCAAATAAATAGAAGCAAACAAGAGAGTGAATAGGTACATCAGAGCTGATAAGCGAAAATACGTGAAAGATCTAGTAATGACATGGGAAAAAGCTGGAAGAGAAGAGAAACAGAAAATCTTTTGATGCAACCAAGGAAGATATAGTAAACGAGAGAGACCAGTCAAGAACAAAGAATGCAAAGCAATCACCAAAATTCAAGAGTAGCGGGACGGATGGGTAGAACAAGTTGAAGAGCTCTTGGATAGACCAGATTCACTGAACCCACCAAACGTCAACGAACCACACAAAGACCTTCCTAAAGATGATACTCCACTAACAGAAATCAGAAACACCACCAGACAAATCAATAATGGCAAAGCAACAGAACCAGACAACATACCAGATGAAGCACTGAGGCCAGATATGGAAGTAAACTGAAAAGATGCGCCACATTCAATTCATGAGGATTTCGGAAGGACAAGTACCGGCAGATTGGAAGGAGGGATATCTTGTCAAGATGCCGAATAAAAGAAATCATAGTAAATGCGAGAAATACAAAGACATCATACTACTATTAGTATCAGGAAAAGTCTTCATCAGCGTTACTGAACCAAAGAAAGATTCAGTGAACGCTCAACTTCGAGACCAACAAGTTGCCTTCCGTAAGAATCGATTGTGTGCCAACCAAATTGCAACACTACGGATCGTTATTGAGTGATCAACAGAATGGAGCTCACCGCCATACATCAACTTCCTTGAACATGAGAAAGCATTTAACAGAGTAGATAGAACCCTCTCCGATACAATGGTGTGGCTGAGACTGTCACCATCATATGGAAATCTTACTACGGACTACACTAAGATATCAAAAGAACGGACAGAACTCGACAACGACTGGGAAGGAGCTCAGAACAGGGTAGGTTGACGATACCTGGTTGACGGCGTATGCTCCACGAAGATTGGGAAGAGCAACTAAGCAACCTCAATGTCATAAGAAAATGAAGTAATTAAAAAGTTAAAGTATGGTTTAGTCATCAAAATCTTGCATAAATCGGGAAAATACATTTACAAAATTTCGGCAAGCTTCTGTGTGTCTAGTGTCAGAAAACAAGCATAGTTATTCTGTTATGCAAGCAACTTAATTTGTTTGAGCATCATTTCCTAAGATCAAACTCCAAAATCCCCTAAAATAACTTTGAATTATTGCACTTTCGACCGCCTTTGTGCACATTTCTAACCACATTCGCTTAGTAATCTGTATATTTCCTTGAAGCACAATTGATTTCAATTGAAATGACGAATACAGGTTTAAAGATAGAGTAAAACGTTTAGTAAAAACACAATTGTAAATTCAATCAATAACTTATATTTACATTAGGATAATATGGTCGTTATATTATAGTTACTAGTGACAATTCAACAATACACAGGTGAACATTAATTGAATCCTGTGAATGAATTCAAAATTTGGAAAACGGTAAAAAGCAGAATCAGTTTTGTAACTCTTATTCTGTTGTTAAATTACTCAAGTCTTTAATCTAGAACTGCTGTTAGTTTCATGCTTACATAATTTGTGATCAAACACAGTTGGATTATAAAACTTTCAATCCAAACATTATATATATCATTAGATTGTTGGACGAAATGGTCTGTAACGATTAATCTCAGAATAGAGCATCTACAATATTACATGGTGATTAGATGAGGAAACTATGTTTTAGGCTGTAAGTCCCCTTCCCCATGAAAAACATTCACTTCTTAATTTTCGAGGAAAAAGCGCGAAAACATTAAAGGAAATTATATACTAATAAAAACAATACGGTTACAGGATCAGTTACAAACAAACTGTATATGTATGCATGTATATACAACATATATTTATATTGAAAAATTATTCGCTCATATCTGATTAAAAAAATAAACCACAGAAAACAAAAGATAAATCCGTGCATAAATAAAGTTGCAGTGTATAGATTAGTGCATGTATGTATGCATGGATAACATGACCAAGAGGTATGATATTAAAAGTTTAACCGATTAATTTTGAGTACAAAAATTGAGTACAAATAAACACAAACATACACACATTGTTAATGTGAAAATAATCAGTCATCAAGTCGATTAGGATCAAGGTGCGTAGAAGATTGTTTGCCACGACCTAGAACTTTACTCAATTGTTTCAGTATTTTCGGTTGACTCTGGAAAATAATTATTTATAAGATAAATAAAAGTCAAAAGAAAATCACACAATATTGTCATATTTCTATGCAAATCCAATGAAAATAAATAAACTGTTATTTAGAAAGTTATATATGGCAGCAATATATCAGCATGTCATAATCTACGTAGGACCTGAGGCAGATCTGCATTGGTTCAAGTTGCTACACTACAACATCACAATGATATGAAATTAACGAGAACCATAAGTAAACGTATCAAAGTAATGCTAGCGTCTAGAACAACAAGAAGTGTATATTTACATAATATGGTGTGAAATAAAGAGGATCAAATTGAAGAATGAAAAAGTATGAAACAATGCTAGAACTCAAGTCAATGGAGCGAACGAACGCATTTATACTAGTGGAACTGACTTTCAACCACAAAAGTTAACGTCTCCTTGACCATTAAACATGGTTATTTCACAAGTCCATACCAGATAGTATAAGCTTGCCAGTATGGCTCAAACCAACAGTCCATGATTTCATGAACTGATAGCATATCTTGGCTTGACGACTCCTAGTTTACTCATACACCAGCCATCATTGAATGTCAAGGTAGACGATGGTTAAGTATATATAATACCTAAGTATGGACAAACGTCTTTTAACGTGAGAAAAAAGGTTGAATACACACATTCATTAATGTTTTGTTTTAATAATATCGTTAACTACAATGATATTTTTATAATAATGGTCTGAGAATAAAAACGTTAAGTAAGCTACTGTGAAGATAATAACATTTAATATGTTACCGTCCACTTTTCCAAATGCTCAGATTGTTGATAATCATGATTAGTTTACCATGTAATAAATATAACGGCCAATATAATTTCATGAAGAATTTTACGTAAATTAATTTTTCAAGAAAAAACTGGAAACTTACACGATGCTTCAAAGCTGATGGTACCTGTGTACATGAAATAAAATAAAATCAGAACAGTTTGTAGCAATAAATGAAATCAGAGATTTGCAAGGATATATATATATATATAACTATCATGTAAGGCAAGCATTTCTTGACAATAAATTTGACCGAGTGATAAACCACGGCGTGTCAACAACCCATTCTCATGTTATTTTGATTTTAGAATCAAAATAATCTAAGGACCACACTAAAAAGAAGTCTGCAAGAGGTTTGTGTATGATTAACTGTACAATAACGTGATAAAAAGAAACAGTGGAGATAATAAGAAATGAGCAGAACTTATGAAATTATTAAAAACTCTGTATTATATTAAAACACGAAGAATATTCTTTCAACTAAATTATTTCCAGGTTCTACAATTATATATCCAAATTGATAATCCAAAAAATTGCCCAAGTTTAAGGCAAAGTGTATCATTTAAACATACAGCATGTAAATTTAGGATTGTTAAACAAAATAGAATAAAATTATTAATGTTGACATGATTCATATGGAATGTTAACTGGAATCAGCTAATACGTTTAATGAAATTGAGAGACTAATAATCAGAATAAGTATGGGTTAGATAAGGTAAGAGAAATAAGAATGCAATTACTAATTAGATCAAATGTTTAGTGCAATACTATATTATGTTAAGATTTTATATGAAATTAGTAAGAAATAATAAAGTGGAATGAATGCTAAGTAAATGAATCATGTATTCGGAAGATTAGTAATGATGCTAAACCGATAATAATAATAATAATAATAATAATAATAATAATAATAATAATAATAATAATACAAAGATGACAGACACAACTGTATTTGCCTAAGAAAGGTTGTAAATACACTAGTTAAATTAAGTCATTCAATAGCCAAGATTACTATTGATTAATTGACTCTGAGGTTGGCCAAAATAGGAGAAAACGGTTGAAGATATTTCCTTTGTACATATGGCTCTAGTTTCTTAATCTGGACGGCCACTGTTTCTGCCATTTGAAGGACTGGGAGTTTAACAGACTTTGGCAAAAAAATTACTGACCCGATAAATAATCGGAAAAAGATTGGCTTATACTGGTAGTATGACGAGTTTGCACTAACTTGGCCAAGATCGAGCTGTTCAATTTCTTCACTAGGATTTTGCTTAGCCATGCTGGGAGAGGTTCGCGAGTACGAAAATGAAATGCATAAAGTACTCACGAAGTAATGAACTATATTAAGCCTTATTCCCTGAGAAATAATAACTTTTGGTGAACAATCCATAAGAGAGAAAAATATTACTTTGAGTGAAGAAAATTTGATTTAATTTATGAACTTAGAAGTTTAATAACAGCAATGATTTAAGGTGTTGTCTATCAGCCTCACTAAGTAAAACATTTAAACTTAGATCCATTTGGAGCAGTTTTAGCAGCCAGATAGTAGTATTCGCATAGTTTATATAATAAGCATATACATAAATAAGTGTGGTTATTGAATCTACGTTCAATCAAAAAATCCACTGATCTATGTTAAGTAATGATGAATAGACGGGAAAAACCATAATGATTTAAGACTTTTAGGTAGAACAGCATTTGGGCTTACTCTGAATAAATGTTATGTATTGTAATTTCATAAAACATTTTGAACATAATGGTCAGAATTTAATTAATGCTATAATATAGTTGATTTGATAAATTCGCGGTAATAATGATTCTGTCATTTGAACGAACAACAGCGTGATCTCTTTTTGCAATGTAATTATGTCTTAATATTTATTTCTAAAGAGATATAAACACTTTTAAATCTCGCTCTTTCATCTGTGGATGAATATAAACGAACTTTATGTACACTGTATTTACAAAAGTGACGATTATAACGACTCTTTACTTTTAAATTTAATTATCAATATAACTCAGGGCATATGTATTATGTTAATTCTACACTTGTATAAACCTTATTTTCAATTTAACAAAAGAAAAGAAACATGTCACATTATCGAAAGCGATGAAATGATGCACTGACTTAAAACATTTCAGAGTACATGAAACTGCACTGCAGTATTCGGTATCTGTAAACAATTACAATAAAGTATTAATTGTATTGAAATAGAGTATTGACAGAATTCTATGTCTACTAAGATAGGTTATAATTTAGTTGGAGAATTAATTTATACAGAGAACTGAATTCTCATGGTTATTTAAGATAACTTGTGTTTTTTTGATGAATAAACTAATATTTATTCATAACTTAGAGAAGAGAAAAGTACAAATGATTTGGGATGAAATAAATGTTATATGATTGGATTTATGCCTGGAATTCAATAACTTTAAAACTAGTAAAATGCAAATTATTTTCATAGCAAGACTATTCAGTTGAGAAACTTACTTTACTTAATTCCGGTTTATTATTATCATCTGCCCAACCTACATGGATCTTTGATCGATTTCTGTGCCATGAATGATCACGGACAAATTTTACTGGACCAGCTGGAGCAGAACTGGCTGTACTTGGAGCGGAAGATGTACTACCAGTATTTGACACATTATCACTTGCTCTAGGTGGTCGACCATGTGGAACAGCAAAGGTTGAAGGAGCAGGAAACGGAAGTCCATCGTCAAAATCAGCATCATCAGCGGAATATAAATCATATCCTAGCGGATCATAATCTTCCATGTAACACTCATCAGATGCTGATGTATAATAAGGTGCATTTACAGAATAATCTACCTTAACGGGCATGGTAGAATGCTTTTTGAAGTTAAGACGTGTTTTGCTCATCATCTTTTGTAAACGACTGGGTTGTCTTGTAAACTCATTAGATAATAAATATTCAGGATTCTCAGGATTAGATCTGTAGTTAAAACATATAATATTAAAAAGTTAATCTTAGCGTAGACAGAGTAAAAATGAACACAACTAAAACTTATATTATAAAATGAGAAGTCTTAATAGACAATACAAGTCAAGCTTACTCAATCTTTCCTTCACGTTTACGATGTTTACTGAAAAAAGCAGATGCAGCTGAAATCAAAGGAGCACCTGGTCGACGACTTTTAGAACTTATAAATTTACTAGCCCGTCGTTTTCCACCTTCGGAATTTTGATAATCTGAACCACTATCGGCAGAGCAATTACGATGAGTGTTATTGAATTCTGGAGGTAGAAGACCACGCATATGATTGATCAACTTTCCTTGTTGTTCTGTAATAGTGGAAAGACGGTGAACTTCACGTTCAAGAGCTTGCTGCGTTGCTTCGCCTAGTTCTTTAGCTCGCACTGTTGCCATTTCTGACTCTCGAGCCTCTTGACGAGCAGTATCACGTTGACTGAGAAGTTGTGTATTATTGAGACGAAGTCGTTCAACTTGAGTCCGCAGTTGATCTATCTGAAATATAAAATTAATTAAATTTAATTCGACAGTTTGTCTCGATGAAACAAAGACTGAACAATGAAAGTAAAAATAAACCTACCTCGTCTTGGAGTAATTGCTTCTCATCAGTGAGAGTAACTATTTGATTATGCACTTCAGATGAATTTTCAGCCGTCTGCACAATATGAAAATTGATATACGGAAGTAATTAACAACGATGTGCAGCATATGAAGTTAAATTATAGAAAATATAATATATACTTCATAGAAATAAGTTGTATTTCAAAATCATAAGGACCTCCTTTAGAAGTCGTCATTACTATCTATTGAAATTTATACAGATGTGAAATGAGAAGTGGTTGATACTTGCATAAATAAGTAATACTGTCTTTAAATATCCTTCGATGTGTGAAGAATTGTATATTAAGTGTAGCTTTGAATTTTCTGACTTTTTAGTGTACATAAAACGGTTTACAAGACTAGTTTTGTGGTGATTAACTTAACAATACAATCAAAGTGTGACGCTTAATCAATGAGAATTCAGCTCTGAAACAGAAGAACCTGATACTTAGCTTACAACTTTTAGGTCAAATCATTAATACACTGATGAAGAGACGTGGTGTTGTACGAAAATAAACAGGTGATCTGACTGTAAGAGTTATCAACAGGACTCACATGACCTACAGCAATAGAAGACTGCAATTGATCATGTCGTGTTCGTAGAAGCGTCACTTCTTGCTGCAAGTCAGAAATCTCACGTTCATAGTTGGCTACGCGTTCTCTGAAAGTAAACAACAAATAATGAAGTTATAGTGAATAGAATCCATGAAACACTTGTCAATAATCATACATTATTTGACTGTTTACTAAAATGGAATATCAGTAGCAAGAATACACGAGGAAAAATAAACCACAGGTAAAGTAACTTGAGAAATATAATTCATGCAAGCATACAAAAATAATGTTTTAAACATTTTCCAGCACAAAAGGAAACATATAAAAAAGGCATTCACCGTAATAATTCCTCATTTTTTTTATAATGAATAAGTTCAGTTTGAGCAGTTCTCAACTGAGATCTTGTCGATTCGAATTCATTTCTCATTTGATCAAGAATAAGCTGTTTCGCAAGAAAAAAAACAAAGGTCAAAAGACAACATTAGACTATTAAAATCACCTACGTCAACTTGAAATAACTACAATGCAATAAGATGTATACTAGATTAGAAACAGTTTCAAAAAATATCTAAACAGTGAAAGTATACCGTTTGATTATGTGTCGTATTTAATCTTTCCAGTCGAAGCGTTGCTTCACGAAGAGAAATTTCAGCAGATTCTTTTTTCATTATTGCATCATTCAATTGTAGTTGCATATCTGATAAGCGCTAAAACAATTTAAAGGGAAAAAAAGACAAAATAATAAGCAAACAGGAGAATGATTTTCAAAAAAATAAACCCTCAACTCTATCAAAAACATTAAAATGATACACAAATTTGAAAATGAATCACTTATTTCCATGTGTGAAAAGTCTTAGAAATTAGGATAACAGTTTTAAAATCTCTCGAAACTAAGAAAAACATTCAATTCCATGTCCATCACAGAATATATTACATTAGTAATAAGAAAAGGTAAAAAAAATGTCATTTACGAAAGTAGATTGTCAGTTAAACGATACAATATGTCATCAGTCATAGTAATCTATATCAACTGAGAATTTTAGTTAAATATCAACTTACAGACAAAAACATCTAAAACGACAGTGAAAGGCTAAATAATGGATGGATATATTATGTAAAGGAGTTGTACTGAATAAAGCATTTCGATTTAACCAACCTGAGAGTCGATTGCTGAAAGTGAAACTAAACGACCACGTTCAGTAAGCATAACTGCAATTTGATCTCGTAGACTTTTCAACTGTGTTTCTGCTTTATCTGCTCGTTCTTCTAACTGACGACGTTCAGTTTGTTTAGCATTGAATAAATGTTCTTTCTCCTTAAATAAAAATAGAAACATGATTAGATAACTACAAATTGTTGGAGAAATATGTAAAATTGGTAAAATTACAAAATACAAATAAATACATTTAGTACGATTAAAGGAATAAAATCAAGCTACAGAAATAATAGTTCAAGTGAACAGATAAGGAAAAAGAGTTTAAAATGGGAAAAAGTGTGCATACACCTACACCATTGTGATCGATTCTGATCCATGTCACCTAGAGTCTCCAACCATTGCTTACGATAGTCACGCGGACCCCAACCAGGTAGTCTGCATCTACCAACATGGCTCATACTAGAGGTTAGTGGCTTCAAGCACTGATGCCATGTTTTGATTTGGCCGCTACTAACTCTCTTTCAACCATCCCCTACACTAGTCAGCATTGCACGTCGTGGTAATCGGTGTTCATGCATACATAACACGTGGCCCAACCATCTCAGTCGATGAAGATTCACAACCTCATCAACTGATTTACCATCATCCCCTAATACCCTGCGTCGAACCTCACTATTACTTACCCAGTGATCCCAGAAGATGCGAGCAATATTTCTAAGGCATCTGTGGTCAAATACTAGTAACCTACGAGTATCTTCTACTCTTAATGGCCACGTTTCACAGCCATAAAGTAGAACAGAGCGAACTGCTGCGCAGTATACTCGTCCTTTAATCGATAGACGGATATCTCGTCTTCGCCATAGGTGACGTAAGTTGGCAAAAGCCAAACGAGCTGTTTGTATCCGTGCTGAGATTTCGTCAGGAACCAACCCATTAGTGCTGGTCAGACTTTCAAGGTAAGTGAAGTTGTCGACGCGTTCGACTACTTCACTCCCTATCCTTAGTTCAGGTGTTGATGCAGGCCAGTCCTGGAATAACAATTTGCATTTAGAGGAGAATCTCATTCCAAATATCCTTGCATTGTTACTCAGTGCTATCAAAAGACTCTGCATTTTATCAGTGTCTTCACCAAACAGGACTATTCCATCTGCGTATTCTAAGTAGATAAGTAGACCTTCCTGAAAATTCACTCGATGAGAACGTTATTTCCAGTAGTAGGTCTATGATGAAGTTAAACGAACAGCCTTGTCGGACACCACTTGATGTTGCAAAGTCAGATGAAAGTTCGCCATAAGCTCTCACTTGACTGGTAGTGTCTGAGTGAAGAGCCTTCACAAGGTTTGTGTACTTCTGAGGTACACCTTTCAATGACAGAAACTGCTACAGAACCTCTCGGTCTACAGAGTCAAATGCTGCTTTTAAGTCAAGAAAAACTATCATTGTCGGACGCCAATAAACATGCCTGACGAATAGTGAATATGTGGTCGATACAGCCACGACTAGGTCTAAAGCCAGTCTGATTTTCTCGTGTTTGGGGTTCACGAGTCTTTGTTAGGCGTCTGATAATGATTGAGGCTAGTATTTTAGATACTATATTAGTCAAACCAATCCCTCTATGGTCATTACAGGATGATTTTACCCCCTTCTTATATAGTGGGACAATCAGAGATTGTGACCAGTTGGATGGGATTACGTGCAACTCCCATATTTTAGCTAAAATATTCGTCCACCTAATCGTTAAAATTGGACCAGCATCCTTAAAGACCTCTGGAGTTAATTTATCTCGACCAGCTGCTCTTCCTCGTTTCAGATTAGCTATAGCTTGTTCTGCACTCGTACTCAGTGCTATACCTGCACATATTTGCAACAGACGATCACCATTATCTGTTCACAGAGTTGGGATACTAAAATACCCACCCAAATGTCTTTCTGTTTGGTTTAGGCTACCTACTTGGACGTTAAAGTCACTTCCTACGAGTACTATTTCTGAGCGTTCAGCTCTGTACTTGTTGGGACCTTACCGCCGGAGACGGATATCTGTGGGATAAGGCGATGTGTTGATCTTTTCAGGGTCAACCTTTTCTAACCACATTCCTCCTTGTGGAAAGACAGCATCTCTGTTATGTTGGCTGTCTGAAGGAAACATTTTACTGCTGTCACACCTCTGTACAGTCAGCATTACGACTTTGCCCTCGGACCTCGGGTTTGCCGTTTTTAGTCTTACCGTTCTTCAACCGACCTGTTTGGCGTGGTAGGACCTTGAGGAACGACTGTTCTAGCTTGTATAGCTCGCTTGGTTCATTACGATAGGCAAGCCAGACCACCACCTCAATGTAGCAGCAACGGTCGGGTGTCATATATAATAATGATTATAACATTTTTTGTTTCAAATATTTTGCTCAATGATTTCAAAATCTCTGATGTTTGGTTTTAAGGTCACAAATGTACCCATACATAGTAAAGTGTGACAATATTTTAGTTCATGGAGCGTCGCGAGGATAATAAATGAATGAATTTGAACAACAAGCATGTAGCAAGTCGTTTTACTGACTTCAAGTCAATCTAAATTGAGTTATTATACATCTTATTGTCAACCCGAATTCGCTTAATGGCTTCTAGAGCTGATTTAATCGCATTCTTCCCCATTCACAATAGTATATACACATGATCCCAATCAATTTTAAAAATATCACTAGATAACTACGCATCAAACGATAAAAAAGACTTAATCGAAGAGCACTTACTGTTCTTACATTATCCAACTGTTTTCTCAATTCACTTAATTCGGACCCATTTTGTTGTGTTGCTTCTTGCAAAGCGTTTCTTAAAGCTGCAAGTTCTCGTTCCACTTCCTTATTACGTTCAACTAATAGATTGAGTTGACCACTAATATCAAAAAGAAAAACCATCATCAACTGTATCAGTAACTATGAGACAACAAAACTTCAATGTTTAATGGCAGTAATCGATAAGTTATCACTTGTTTTTTTCACAGTCCATTACAACTTGATATCGACTAACGAGATGAATTGTTTAGTTTAACGAAAATCCTTTATCAATTTTGCAATATACAAGTGGGGCATTACAAAAAGAAAAGTAAAACAGATAATGTAAATATGGCTAATATGATAGTGGCAATCTCTCTCTCATCTTAATAGCGATTTTAAACACAATGGCCATTAACAATAAAACATCGTATCTTCTAATTTGGAATAGCGGATCGAAACAAAGAATAAAAATACATCACGTAAAGAGATTTTAAAATAACCTAGGTGTTTAATGAAGAGAGTGATTTAGTATTTTACCACTGAAAGTAGTTAACCAGCAGTCATTGAATTCTTGGGGGACATAGCTAAATTTTTATGAGGTACTGGTAAAATTTACAATGAAGCATATAAACAACACAAAAGATACTACAAGTAAACAAGTATTCTACCGAGTTCATACGTGAATATATCATTGGTGGACAAATCATTTGGTTCCGAGATAATTTTGACAATAAAAAGATATATTTTAAAAATCAAAATTAGATTTAAAATTACAAAAGAGCTTACGATTGTGTTTGTAATTCAGATGAATTATTCTGTTGTTTTTGCACTGAGTTAAGCGTCAATTGTTCAAGTTTCTCTGTAATCTCTTTGTTTTTCTATAAGATAAAAAGTGAATTAGTAAAATAAAGAAAATCAAGTGAATATATGGAATACGTACGTTGACCCCAATCCCTTAAAGTAACAAATATAACTTGATAAGAATTCAAATAATTGACATAATGGTAATAAGTCAAATATCATAGCCAGTCAGTTAGCCATAAGCAACGTAAGACCCAGTACTTATGAGTATCGGTTCAACTTTTCATACCAAACCATTAGTATAGTGAGATGAAGTTATCAAGACAAATGTAAGTGATAGAAGTAATAACAGAAAAGATTGGGGGTGAACAAAATGATTCGACAAGAATGAATTTAAGGAATACAAAATACAAAACAGCTTTGAAATCCGAGATGTAAGGGAAGACAAATAGTGAAAGCATCTGCACCGTTTCGATTAATTATGAGTCTCCCCACCTGATGTCTCCAACCCCTGGTTACGATGACTGAGGACTCCAACCAAATAGTCTGAGTCTATCAAAAAGGCTTAGTACAGAAGTCAGTGATCTTCTGAATTGATGAAACATCGTAGTTCGGCTATCCCTAGCTTTTTCTCAACTTATTCCTACACCAGAGCGATGTCTATCAATTATTTTACTGAGGACGACGAAAAAAATATCTAAAGACTCAGATAAAAGAAAAACAAAATACTATAAATAATACGAGTTTTCCAGTTAACTTAATCAAACGGAGAATCATTTACATACTTTGGCTATAAGATTTTTAAAATCAATTTTAAGCATAGTCATTCAAAGCTAGTGGACTACATTGGCACAAATATACAAAAGTTCATTACGTAGCAGAGATTGAAGACAATGACAAGTTTGTCTATCTTTTACAAAAAATGACGGTAAATACAAAGGTTATGGCTTTAAAGGTTTTTCACTGATTGGAACTCGAAAACATTAATTAATCATAGTATTAACTATATCGTGAGACGAAAACGCTCATTCCACGCAACAACATTATCTAGGTCACTCGTTAACAATTGTTGTTGTGCAACATATCTAAACTGCTATGGTCGCATGTAAGGAAAATTAACTTTCTAAAGCTACAAGTTACATAACTTCGGACTGAGAAGTTCTATTTCCCCTCTTCAAGAATCTGGGATGAAAGTAATTTGCATAAAACTAGTTTATTAGCGATGACAAACCTTTTCTTCTTCTTTTAACCTATCTCGTGCTGAAAAGTATTTGTCTTCAAATTGCAAGAACTTCTGGTGTAAATCACGTTGATAATCTTTTGAATCCTCAAGTTTTTGTTTCAATTCCTGCGGAAATGAAAATTAAAACGGTTAGTTATAAAAACTCTTATACTAGTTGAGCACAACTACAAAAACAAGCTTTGCGTCATACGACAACTGCTAATTTTTCGACGCTCGATTAGACGACACTAACATAGGAAATATGAAGACGATGTGAAACACAATTATACCCAGACACGTTCAGTGTACTGGGCTTATAAGCTACATCAATATACAAAGATTACTCGGGACTCTTTACGTGGGACGGTTTTTAAACGTGATACTCGGTTTTATAAATAGATGAATAAACCAAATACCAACATACTTCCAAAATAAGAAATAAAGCAAATTACGATCAATAGAATATATTACATACGTACGGTGAATAAATCGTCTCAATACAGTTAACACAACTATTCGCCTCCTATAATGAATATTTACTACTGATTAATACAAGCAATTTGACATAAAAGAAGCACTAATTGCTTCAGTTTGGGCACTTGGGCAGTATCACAGCCCTCACACAAATCGAATGAGATTTGTGCGGCGCATATGTATCTGGTGCTTCCTTGTACCAGTATTTATGTGTTTAAATAAAATAAAATAAATGTAAGTATATTCCATTTGATAATAGATATCTTAACAATCTGGGTCAACATTTCTATTAATTCAGAACTGAAGTGACTCTAGATATAATTACATGTATCATGTAAACTTATAGATAATACAACGAAACAGATAATTATTGGGTGTAACAAACTCAATTATGCAAAAATCTAATTAAAAAACTATCTTTCTGCATAAAATTAGGTTTTCGACCACACTATCAATAAACGAGATTTAAATATCACAAACTGAGAATGTGATATTAGCACTTACACAAAAGAGAAAATCAGTATTTTGTTTGAATGACTGTGTCAATTGACGGATGAAAGAGAACTCACAATTGATACATCAAACTGCTAACAAGTACATGATCTATGTTTGATATTACGTTCATTAAGAAACATATAACCCCGTTTGTCGTTAAGCAGATATTTTTGAATGATTACAAGTTAAATAACAGAGAAAAAACTAACTTTAATTTCCCAGTTAAGATTGTTCTCGGTTTCACGATAACGACGTTGATCTGCAATTAATCCATCAATAGTTTCCACCAATTGATTAACTTGCTGCTTTGATTCATCTAAAGCTTTTTTCAGTTCAGCATTATTCGATTCCAATGCATAACATGATTGTCTTGCACGATTAGAAGCATGTTTAAATTGTTTGAGAGCGAAATTGATAAGACGATGAACTAATTCATAGCCAATAAGATTATCTGATGAATTAGATGTACGTATAGTTGACAGTGAAACATCAGCGAGCATTTCAGGTGTTGTGTAAACTGTAGGTGGACATAGTGTAGTTAACAGATCAAGTAAATCTGCTTCTGTAAAATTACTTGGCAAATTCGAAAGACGAGACTGGGATTAAAAAGTAGAATAAAATCACAGAGCGCTGAATTATAGTTTCTTACAATGTGAAAGAAAGAGCAATAAAATAACAATAATAATAATAACATTTACGGACCTACAACTTGAAAATACGGTAATGAAATGGTGGAGAAAACAATCTGTCCATTCAGAAGAACAATGAAAGCTTCACGATTAAACCAACTAGCTTAGAGAACGAAACTCTACTAAAGTATCATGTTTTAAAGCAACCTATTTATGTATCCAGAATAAAAAAACACTAAATAGATCTATTTTTCATTACTACAACAATCAACATTGAATTCAAGTATAATAAACTAATCGTCGCATCAACTACTAGCAATTTATTTGAGAAAAGGCTTGTAGAATTAAGAACATCGATACACATAAACTCATTACTTCTGAAATTAACAAACAAATAACTTAGGTTTACAAAACAACAACCGACGTAAAGATAGTAATACTAGATGAACATTGTCCTAGACACAGTTGAAATATAAAAATGATTTACCATTTAGAATGATTTACTTGTAAATTTTTATTAGTTAAATGGTTAGTAAAACGTACACCGGAAAATCTCTAAATTTCGCCTGTGAGAAAATGATAAAATAAGATCTTTTTATACAAAATGTTGGTCCCTCGACAACTCCTATAAAATTATCGAGCATGAATATGATGGAGTATTATGTAATCAATTACACCCGAAATGATAAATTAAAATAACATACTGATTTGGAAATGGAATTTGACCCTTAAGAAATTTTGTACATCAATAATACTAACCTATGCAGTGAATAGTTTCCTGAGCTTAGAAGTCGATATGTATCGGTCGTTTGAATCTTTCCACTGATGTTTAGGAGTGGAACTAACCAGTCTCATTTCGGAATATGTGCCTTAATATTGCCATTAATTTACAAGCACTTTAAACAGAGACGAACGGTCACTAGCAGTGGAATCCAAGGCGCGTGTTTCGTCCAATCTGGTACTCGTCAAATGGATGTACCTGGGTTCCAGAGTCGATGCTTACTTCGAAACTCAAACTGAGATATCTAGGCAATTTGCACAGGATGCATATATTCCAAAAGAAATTGATCAACTGCATAGATTAGTTCGAGCCTTGAAATGAACATCAACTCTGGGATGCAAGTAAACCTAGCCAATTAGTCCCAAACAGGACGAAACGTGCATTCTGGATTCTACTGCTAGCCACCAATTATTTCTGTTTAGAGTTTGAACTCATGATTTCTAAGAAATACTCAAGCAACAAAATAACACACATTATCTTACAACAAAAGATTATACTGAGATCATAATACTAAAAAGAGCAAAAAAGCATACCACAGCGTGTTGCAATTGATCCACTATAGCTTGTGCTTGTTGGCAACTTTGTACTGAAGCAGTCAAACGAACGTTTTCTTCTTGAAGGTGTTTTATTCGAGAATTCAAATGACCAACAGTAGATCTATGACAAACAAAAAAGGAACGACATATAATATGAGTCTAAGATTAGTAACTATCGTCAAGGAACAAATTGAAAGCTGAAACAACAGAAAAGCTCATTTAAATCAATAATAATTACATTACAATAATAATTACATAATATCATATAGAAATGCATTTCAGTAAAAAATTTCACACAAAAAACCCTAATTATATGAAAGTGAATTAGAAAACTAACTTTTCCTTCTCAACGACTGTATCAGAAAGAACACGTACAGCTTCGTTAATTTCCTTCAAGACATGACCATTGTCGAATGCACTTAATAATCGTTGACGTAAATCCTATACGCAACATAAATAAACAATGTGAATTACACAAACATATTGCCTTACAGACATACACAGAAGAGATACAACAAATAAATGATATATATATATATATATATCAAGTTATTACTATGCTTTAGTTGAAATCACAAGGGCCATAAAGAAAACACAAAGTAATAGACAAATAAAGCAACGAAATTGTAAAATAGTTTTATTTACTGACTAAACGTCATTTAACGAGTTAACAAAAAAACCTACAACAACTAGGGAGTTATTTTAATTGACCTTAAAGAATTAAAGAAATTATAACACGAAAATAGATTAACATTTGCAACGACCATATGCTTAAACTTTCCAACTAGTTAGCAACTAAAAGTATTTATGTAGATCTTGTCTAAATATTTTGTAAGAACATGTGAGCGAACATATAAAAAAAGTATTTTAAACAAATGTTAAATATAAATAGACTTAGTACTGACTACGTTTTGTCTTTTAACAAAACCAAAAAACAATAAAGAACATAACTCTGTTTTGACGATAGAACCTAGGATAAGGATATATTGAAAATAAATAAGCTATGTTTTTTTAATGTACTATGAATACAAGTATACACAAAAATGATAAAGACTAGTACTGACATTCAAACGTTCAAAAGTAACCAGTGATATAATTGACGAAGCCAAATACTGCTCTTAAAATTGACTAGACTAATATATAGTTTTAGTATGAAAAAAGCAGAACAGACGAAACAATCACATTTTGAAAGTAAAATATCATGAAAGATTTAAATAAATTATTGTGAAAAACATGTAAATGATACAAACACTGCAAACAATGATATGAATTTCGTTAATGATTGACAAACTAGTGGAGAATAAAGTGACAATAGACCCATAACAAGATTATACATAAAAAATCGTAACAATCGATATACCTCAGACTCTTTATTCTGTAGTTGTAATTGTTCAATTTGTTCACATAATTGTCGATTACGTTGCTGAAGTTCAGATAAACTGACAATTTCAGGATCGCTTGTTTTTCTGGCATCTTTGAGTCGCTCAACTTCAGAACAACCAATGCTACGTCTAAGTGATGTAGATAATGATTCTTGGCGTTCACTAAATGCCCGTCTGTAAGGGGTGCTATATTAATAATGAAGCAGGGGAAACAACAATACAATAATAATAATAAAGGTGGAAGTTCCTAAGGTAGAAATAATAATGAGGAATATAACATATGCTACAACTTGCTGATTAATTGTAACTTTCTTTTCAACATTAATTATAGGCTTAATATTCACTGTATAAAACGGTTAATTGGTTTCAAATAATGGCATTATAAACGTAATATGAAAAGGTGTAACAAATTATGCGGTTGTATTATTCAAATTTACCGGATTGAAAAATGTTTAGATCCTATTTAACCTCAAATGTGGGAATTTCAGTATTGTCATCATAAAGTAACTAACTAATTGACATATTCAAAGAAGCTATTGATATTGAAAATCTTTCAAGGAGAAAGTCGCAGTAGCAAACATGTGAAAAAGACAAGAATGATAACGAAATAACAAGAAACAACCAATTGTATACCATCAGAATAGTTACCATTTCTACACTTCAACATTATGGGTGTGGACGAAAGCAGACAAAAAAGAATAAATGTTATCTGTACTTGATAAATTAGTCGCATTACCTGATTATTCATTATTTCTGTCAATTTTAATGTAAAGCAATGAATGACCATATATATGTAACATACCGTAATACATTAAAACTGCATTTAAAGGATAGATAACCACTCAACAAAGAATTTAGTTTCAAGGCCCAAGTATAAATTTCCGACAACAATAAAAATACATCATAACATTAAATCTGACTTATAGAGAAGTCAAATTTGATGGGTTAAAAATTGCTGTAGTAAAAATACACTAATTTTTAAACAAAATATTCAACTAAGTCATTTGATAAAAAGTATTACAATAAGATTGAAACTTAGTACTTCACGGTTATGTTCCTTATTGATCCTCTAGTGGATTACAAGTACAAGAAGAAGACTGTTTAAAAAACTCTACAATTAATGAGCAACATACGAATAAAAACTGTTCGGGATCATTTGTGGGTACTAATCCTAACAAACCGGACGCAACTATTGAGAATTGTGATCTGTTTGAATAACGACCTCAGTTTATGTGAAACGACATGAAAGTAAAATATGAGAATGAGATATGTCTATTGGAAGTACCAAGTATCTCGGTAGTGAAGGTTTATCAACAAGATGACCAAACAACGACCATATTCAACGTCCTGAACCAAATGAAGCAGCTACCACACACATTGTTGCAAGTTAGAAAACAGAAGACAATGACAACTAGCAAGAGATTTTGGAGACTGTTATTTGAAAGTGTTAACAAAACAGCAATAGTCCGGATAGACCAACAGTATTGGCAAATGAAGTGCTAACAAAAAGGTTATAACTCGAGTATTTGGAATATACTAAGAGATTACCTGATATTAGCTATTACTGATGTTCCAACATGAGCAACGGCAGTCGAATGAACCTGTTTCTTGGAAAGGTTTCCAAATAATACCAATCCAGGTGTATACGTATATCCCAAGAATGGTAAGTCTCGGACACACTCAGAACCCTCCCATTCTATATCTTCAATTTCTTCAATTTCTTCATTTATTGGTACAGCAGCAGCCTCTTGAATTGCTTTTCTTTTTAATACTTCGGAAGACAATGGCGATTTATGTGGATTAATATTTTCTTGATTTTCATCATTCAAAATTTCAGTATCTAAAGGCTTTACCAGAACAGTTTCGTCTTCTTCGTTTTCTTCATTGTTTAAGGTAGCACACTGAGTGACATATCCATCTTGAACAGATGACTTTGTATAACGTATTGGGGAGAATGTCTGGTTTCTAGAAACATCCAATATGGCTTCATCACGAGCACGAGAGCCACCGCCAGAAAAATTTGAAACATCGTCTAACTCACCAACTGGGGGCAAGTATGGAGGGGTGACTATACAAAACGAGACAACAGGAATCATAAATAATGAAAACTTAAGATGGGTATACAATTTAAATGTACATTTAGGAATTTCGAGTCATATTGCTGTCCGAAGAAAGCCATGAAACTCATCACCCTACAGACACATTTTGCTGTAACTCAGCATTAAATCATGCATATTGAATACAAGTAATGTGGCGAATTGTGGCTTATCGACAACATCAATGAATGACCAATTATTGACAGAAATATACTTAACACAAATGTAGTTTGAGACAACCAGAAGTGATGTTGCCCGAAAGGTAAAGGAAGACACATAAGAGGCTTACAATGATAGAAAGACTTTGCGATTTACTGAAACAAAAAGACCTATAGGATTGGTGATTAAGTATACACTTGGTTTAGGATGCACTGAAGAAATACATATTGAGAAATACGTCTGGAATTTTATCACCGACACTTTTGCCTCAATGTAGACTTCGATTAAAATATTCAATCTATCAAGTAAAAAACATAAATTACTAATTATCAGGATTTTTAAAAGAAATAACCAACAAAATAACTAACCTTGTCTCAATGCAGAGAAATCAATATCTTTGAAAAATGGATGCATAACAACATCTTCATAAGTTAACCGTTTTGATGGACTAACGATCAGTGATTTAATTAAATGAATAGCACAATCTGTTATTTCAGCGGTTGCAGGGAACTTTAATGTTTTCTAAAAAAGACATTAAAATAAAGAATTATTTGATTAAACAAATCATAATGAAAGAAATTACCCGATAATCCATAATTTTCTGCATCATCGCATCATCATCTTCATCGTAGAAAGGCGTTTGTCCATAAAATAATTCATACAATAAGACACCAATCGCCCAATAATCGAATTCAGGACCGACAAGTAATGGTTCTTGATTATGCCGTCCACGTTGTCGTAGAAGTTCAATGTTCAAATATTCTTTTGTCCCAACCATCGTAGGACAGACACACTAATAATGTCAATCAAAAAAAGAACAATCAGACTAACTCAGCACGTGAACATATTTTTATGTTATAGTGCTTAAAATAAAAATGACAGTCGATTAAAAAGTCACTAAATCAAAAACGGTTAAACATTATTGTAACATCTAAACAGATTTCTCTAACCAACTGGATGACTGATTGATGAATAACCAAAGTATGTATTATGTTTCTTGTCAAAAAAATTCATATGCGGACTGAATGAAGGGTTACAATTAAATCTGGTTTCATAAAATACAGACGACTTAGTAGGTACGTAGGGGGAAGTGTATTTATTTTGCAGTCATCTTTTTTTAATAGAAAAGACGAACGTTTAAAGAACAATAACATGTACCAATGCATTAACAACACAAAAACCAGCCTAAACACGATTCAACTAGGGAAAAGATAAAATGAAAAATTTAACATTTTGAGTCGAAACAATTTATGAAAGAAATTGGTCTGTCGAAATCAAGTAAATGACATTCTTAGTTATTACTTTGTATCTAACATGACTCACTATGACTGGGTATTATTGAATGAATGACAACACTTCATAATTATAATAAGGTGGTTGTTCTCTTCCATGTACTACGTATCATATTAAAGCGATGTAGTATAGCACTCGAGAGTCAGTCAGTCAGCAACAACGTAGGACCAGGTACATATATGCATCGGTCCAAGTTGCCATACCTCGTTAGCACAACAAGATCAACATCAGATTCATAGAAGTAATTAATTTAGTATATAAAGAAAGGTTGTATATAAGGATATAGTATAGGAAGGAAAACAGATATGAAGCAATTTTAATCTCAAGGTTTAAGGGAAGATAAAGAGTGTATACACCTACGCCATTGTGATCGATTCTGAGCCATGTCACCTAGAGTCTCCAACCATTGCTTACGATAGTCACGCGGACCCCAACCAGGTAGTCTGCATCTACCAACATGGCTCATACTAGAGGTTAGTGGCTTCAAGCACTGATGCCATGTTTTGATTTGGCCGCTACTAACTCTCTTTCAACCATCCCCTACACTAGTCAGCATTGCACGTCGTGGTAATCGGTGTTCATGCATACATAACACGTGGCCCAACCATCTCAGTCGATGAAGATTCACAACCTCATCAACTGATTTACCATCATCCCCTAATACCCTGCGTCGAACCTCACTATTACTTACCCAGTGATCCCAGAAGATGCGAGCAATATTTCTAAGGCATCTGTGGTCAAATACTAGTAACCTACAAGTATCTTCTACTCTTAATGGCCACGTTTCACAGCCATAAAGTAGAACAGAGCGAACTGCTGCGCAGTATACTCGTCCTTTAATCGATAGACGGATATCTCGTCTTCGCCATAGGTGACGTAAGTTGGCAAAAGCCAAACGAGCTGTTTGTATCCGTGCTGAGATTTCGTCAGGAACCAACCCATTAGTGCTGGTCAGACTTTCAAGGTAAGTGAAGTTGTCGACGCGTTCGACTACTTCACTCCCTATCCTTAGTTCAGGTGTTGACGCAGGCCAGTCCTGGAGTAACAATTTACATTTGGATGGGGAGAAGCACTCGAGAAAATCAACAGAAACTATTGACACCCACAATGATAACAGCTACTGTACCACAGCAAATTATTATCATTCGTGGGTGTGTGTATGGCGAAACCAGCAATTTGAGTGTCAAGTTTAGGCTATGTGAATTAACCGACGAGTTTTTTAACCCGTGCCCTATTAACTTATCGATCATTCATTCGATACACGTGTTTATTATATCTAAACACCAATTAGTTTTGTTTTCTGTGCTGATTGAAGTAAGATGGAAATGAAAGTAGTCTGTCTACAAAACAACACAAATATATTCGGTGATTATTCATCGAAACACTTTGTTCATCACTTATTCAGGTTTGGTACATATTTAAAAAACATGTATTAAAATAAGTGATACACATGAGTTGAGTTTTTATCATTCTGTACACCTTGAGAAGTTGGTCATAAAAATAGTATATATTCTATAGTTTCGTTTTATATTTCCATGGTAGGTTGTTGCGGAATCAAGGACAGTTGTATTGGAATAATGCCCACCGGTCCATCACAACTTTCTAAATGAAGACCCAGAGACTAGGAGTAACCCAGATTAAAGTGTGATTAACTATCGCTTAAGTGAAAAGCAGACAGGTATCCTGATCTTCCCTTACTTTTAATAAAAAGAATGAGGTATTTCATAACCGAATGTCGTTTATTTTGATTATGTCCTTGCTTGAATTATACCTTATAGTACGTCTCACAATTTTCTTAATAACTTTCCTATAGTTTTTCTTCACAAGCCGTGTCACAAATATAACAATGGAAATCTCTTCTCCAATTTTATTCGTTTACTGTCTCGACTTTTAGGGATAAATTATAATGAAATTTTTTAAAAATTGTACCACAATTCCTTTGACAGTTGTCTAAAAATCAAGTGATGAAAAAGAGCAAACTTGCATTTAAAACTAGGATGGATGGAAAAGGCTACTACTAGTTATAGGAAAAGTAAAAACAATTATGATAATGAGCGTTAAGAATAACAATTCTACATATTGCCATGGAATAAGGACTAAATTTATAGCAAATTGCTAATTAATAAAGACCAGAGATATAACGGCAGTAAATCACAAATAACCCCATAAAACGTATGATTAATGATGATAAATAGCTTAGTTAACCAAACATCGATTCTTATATTCGCCGTGATAAGACCTTTGCAATTGACTTGAAAAATGTAGTAAAATCCACGAATAGTCATTAAGACATTTAATTAATCACACATAAGACACAATTATAAACTTAAAATTACTTTTCCATCAGCATCAAGTCTGATAGCCGAACCAAAATCAATTAGCTTTAGGTGTCCACTTCTCTCAATTGCAAAATTTTCAGGCTTTAGGTCACTAAAAGATAAAAAGTAATTTTCAATTATTAGTTAAAATAAAAAAACTATAGAAATGTCCTTGAGAGTCATTGTGATCTATTATTTATAGGAAATTATACATTGAAACTATGAAGAAATTCCAAGTCATATTTACCTAGAGAATTTGGGGAGATATAGTCACAATGAATCACAATAAGAATAAACTACCCAATTAGCACTGAATTTATAAACATACCAATGAATATAGCCCATTTGGTGCAACGAATGAACGGCTTCCACAGCTTCGGCACAATAAAACTGTATCATTTTTGAATCCAACAAATGACCAACTCTGAAAGCAAAATATATCAAGAGACTTAAATATCAAACGATTTGTTTTATGAACAAGACTACAGATATACGATTCACTACGCTCGATTTTACGAATCTCCAGATAAAAATTGTAGCTACCTAAAAAATCAACAGCGGAGCCTGCCGCAACTTAGTAAATTAACTATACGTTCACGTTGCCCGGTTTTAGCCACACTTTCAGTCAAAGCTAATGATAACACTTGGTTGTCCAAATGGAAATATTTATGGTCACATTCGAACTCTTAACATAGTAATTCAAAGAAGAATGATTAAACTAGCAACCCCGTGCTCTATTCAGATAATTGTTTTATCTAGATGATATACAAAAGAAGTCAATATTAGTGACAAAGTACAAATGACGAAATGAATTGTGTCGTAAAAATCTCCAATACACCACAGGATTAAATTTACTAATAATCAACAGTTTTTGAAGAAAAAACATACGCCCCCTTACACTTCACCTTTGAATTTATTATGGCATTACAGTGTAACAAGTCTTAAGCATTTGTCCCGTGGGCACTGCGGTCATGCCCTCAGGTCATCAAGACTACTTCTAATCCACTTTCCCTTTCAGGTACCTCTAGAAGAACCCTTCCATGATGTGGGCAATCCGGAAGTGAAAACCGCCCTCATACTTCGAACAGCACTCAAGATCACTTTATTCGTAATAAATTTTACTCTTCAATTCTTATTATTCCTCCTACCTCGACTTTCAAAACTAAACTTCCTCCTCAAGTGTCACTATAAGCAACGATTCTAGTGCGCAAAACACTGTTGCATGTCTACTTAAACCTCGCTCAAAACTACAAGTTGGAGCCTTCAACGTGCGTATCCTTTCTTATATCGAGCAGCAGACCACCTTGGCGAAAACCCTAAAATCTTGTTCCGTTGATGTATGCTGTGTCTCGAAACACACAGGATTTTAGTGTGGTCAGTCACTTCATCTCACCTCGCCAAAACGGAGAGCCGACGAGATACATCCTCCGTTATCTGGCGACCAGATGACTAGTTCTCGTGGACTGGCGTGTGCAAACATAGCACTGAGTACGAGTGCAGAACAAGCTATAGCTAATCTGAAACGAGGAAGAGCAGCTGGTCGAGATAAATTAACTCCAGAGGTCTTTAAGGATGCTGGTCCAATTTTAACGATTAGGTGGACGAATATTTTAGCTAAAATATGGGAGTTGCACGTAATCCCATCCAACTGGTCACAATCTCTGATTGTCCCACTATATAAGAAGGGGGTAAAATCATCCTGTAATGACCATAGAGGGATTGGTTTGACTAATATAGTATCTAAAATACTAGCCTCAATCATTATCAGACGCCTAACAAAGACTCGTGAACCCCAAACACGAGAAAATCAGACTGGCTTTAGACCTAGTCGTGGCTGTATCGACCACATATTCACTATTCGTCAGGCATGTTTATTGGCGTCCGACAATGATAGTTTTTCTTGACTTAAAAGCAGCATTTGACTCTGTAGACCGAGAGGTTCTGTAGCAGTTTCTGTCATTGAAAGGTGTACCTCAGAAGTACACAAACCTTGTGAAGGCTCTTTACTCAGACACTACCAGTCAAGTGAGAGCTTATGGCGAACTGTCATCTGACTTTGCAACATCAAGTGGTGTCCGACAAGGCTGTTCGTTTAACTTCATCATAGACCTACTACTGGAAATAACGTTCTCATCGAGTGAATTTTCAGGAAGGTCTACTTATCTACTTAGAATACGCAGATGGAATAGTCCTGTTTGGTGAAGACACTGATAAAATGCAGAGTCTTTTGATAGCACTGAGTAACAATGCAAGGATATTTGGAATGAGATTCTCCTCTAAATGTAAATTGTTATTCCAGGACTGGCCTGCATCAACACCTGAACTAAGGATAGGGAGTGAAGTAGTCGAACGCGTCGACAACTTCACTTACCTTGAAAGTCTGACCAGCACTAATGGGTTGGTTCCTGACGAAATCTCAGCACGGATACAAACAGCTCGTTTGGCTTTTGCCAACTTACGTCACCTATGGCGAAGACGAGATATCCGTCTATCGATTAAAGGACGAGTATACTGCGCAGCAGTTCGCTCTGTTCTACTTTATGGCTGTGAAACGTGGCCATTAAGAGTAGAAGATACTCGTAGGTTACTAGTATTTGACCACAGATGCCTTAGAAATATTGCTCGCATCTTCTGGGATCACTGGGTAAGTAATAGTGAGGTTCGACGCAGGGTATTAGGGGATGATGGTAAATCAGTTGATGAGGTTGTGAATCTTCATCGACTGAGATGGTTGGGCCACGTGTTATGTATGCATGAACACCGATTACCACGACGTGCAATGCTGACTAGTGTAGGGGATGGTTGAAAGAGAGTTAGTAGCGGCCAAATCAAAACATGGCATCAGTGCTTGAAGCCACTAACCTCTAGTATGAGCCATGTTGGTAGATGCAGACTACCAGGGAAGTCCTACTCACTGCCTTCTCGTGGCGGGGGTGTTGTTTACGAAAGTGAGAGGACGAAAAGCGAATGTCCGGCGCTTTAACCGGGTTGGTGGACAAGGCGAATTCATTTAGGGGAGTTGGAAAACCCTGATTCCAAACCAATGGTGTTCATGGGCTCCAGTATCCTGAGGGAACGAATGGCGGACGAACCTGTCATTGGTCAACGGCTACCATGGAACTGCATCTCCTTACGATGCTCCACTGCCTTGTGGATCAGATCTTTCGGTCAAAGGCTCCGGGTGTGGGCCCCTAAGAAAACCACCTGCTTCAGTTCGGGCACCTGAACAGTATCACAGCCCTCACACAAATCGAATGAGATTTGTGAGGCGCATATTTATCTGGTGCTTCCTTGTACCAATATTTATGTGTTTAAATAAAACCTGGTTGGGGTCCGCGTGACTATCGTGACCAGTGGTTGCAGACTCTGTGTCATGACTCAAAATCGATCACAATTGTGTAGGTGTATACACACTTTGTCTTCTCTTTAACTGTGAGATTAAAATTTTTATACCTTTTCTTTTACGAACTAATTTTTTCTGCCTGTATTATATCCTTATATGCAATCTTTTATATATTAGCACCACTAAATTGACTACTTCTATGAATTTGGTGTTTATCTTGTTGTGCTAATGTGGTATGGCATCTTGGACCGATGCATATATGTGCCTGGTCCGACGTTGTAGCTGACTGACATCTGAAATATCGAAACTCTCTCAAAACATTGATATGCTTGGAAACGAAATACTTCAATCTGTTGATAATCTCCATTTGAGGTAACTATAACTTGTTTTTTGAATAGATATCTTATTCAGTGTACAACCATAACTTCAACTTTACTACACAAGTGCTTTAAGAAGCATGAGGGCGGTTGTTTCTTCCCTGTCGCTTCTCGAGGGACTCGAAAAGGAAATTGGGTTATCAGCAATCATAGTGACTTGGGAACGTGACCACAAAATCAAAGAGATACACGGCCTTTCTGTAAGTTTCTGATGTGTTTGCTCTGTGATTGGAAGGGTCTTAACGCTGAAAATAGGAATCTATGGGGTAAGGTGAGACACAACATTTTTAGGGTCAATTTCTTCTAAACCCTCCCCTCTGTTATGAGAAGGCAGCAACTTTGTAGATGTTAGTTGCCAGAGGAAAATATCTTGCTGCTGTCATGCTTCAGTACAGCCAGCAGTATGATTTCGCCATTGGATCATGAGTCTGCTGCTTTTAGTCTAACCATTCTGAAACCGATGTGTTAGGCATAGTAGGACCTAGAGAAACATTTGTTCCCGCCAGTATACCTCGATCAAATCACCACGATAAGTAGACCCGACCAGCACGCAAAGGTAGAAGTCTTTTATTAGAGTTCCATTTGTATTTTGAGTTGATCACTCAAAATAGCAGCATATAAGACTAAATAAAGCACGTGTTGGTTGAGCAACGGTAAAATGATGGTTTACTTGGATGGTGTTCGTATCAGTCCCACAAGATTGACAATGGACTATGCAATAAACTACTTTGTTCGGACTGAATATGTCTTTGTCTATCACCAAATGGCGTATGAAACAATTGTTGGTCACCGGCTACCATGGGACTGGGTCTGCTCACGATGTTCAACTGCCTTGTGGATCAGACCTTAGGTCGAAGGCTCTGGGTGTGGCCCTTTAAGAAAATCGCCTACTTCAGTCAGGGCACCCGGTCAGTATCATAGCCCACAGGCAAATCAAGTGACTTGTGTGGCGCACATAAATCTGGTGCCCCCTTGTACGAATATTTGTGTCCAAATAAAATAAATAAATAAAATCGATTCTCAAAAATACAAAAATATTATTCACTATGACACGAGCAGCAATCATCTCATGTTGCTAGACGTGTAGATACAACAGTATAGAACTCGTATTTGTACAATGAGGCAAATTGTTTATTTATGTTCACCGTCTATACATCTAATCAAAGCAAAAATATGAAAGAGATGACTTCGACTAGTAGAGTTTATTTAGTTTTAGAGCTAAACAGATATTTGCATAAAATTCTGTCCCAGTGCTTTACCTGTGGTTTCCGGTAGATAGATATTTTTGTTTAGCCTAGATTATTATGAAGTTTCTATCTTAAGCTAAAAACTATTTCGGTAACTAATTTTCACTGTAATGCACATATAACAAACAATGGTTACAGTTTATGCTAAAATTGGTCAAGTAATAAGGTCGCTCACTTGCTTAAGAATATATACAAATCGCCACCGGGTTCGTAGTCCATCACAAGATGCAAGTGCTTTTCATCCTGAAATGCATAATGCAGGTGTGGAAGCCATGGATTTTCAATGGCAGTCGCCTGCGCTAACACAGTTCTTTCAAGCAGAATCTGAGAGCCCTCCTAAGTAGGCAAATAATGCAAAAAATTATAAGGATGACTGAATCATAGAAACCTACCGGATCATGATGCAACCAAGCTCCTTTAAACTGAGACTTCATTGCATACACTGAATGAGGTGGTGATACCTCACGTACTACACGTACTATTCCACAAGCCCCTCTACCAACACATGCGCCCAGCTTGAAATCCGACAATTTCAGACGGAATTCTGATAATCGAGTAATGATTGGCTTTACTATATGTAGAAGAAAACGTCTGTAAGATAACTTTTATCAGTGATGTAGATTAATAATAAAGTACGTCGTAGATTACAGATAATACAAACCTAACTATTCAATATCATGAGATAAAATATTGCTTATGTGAAGGACAGAAAAAAAGTAACTAAAAGAAGTTTTTCTAACAATTAAACACCACGTGAATTAAAAAATACGTTACCTCGTCTGCGGAAGAATTTCGCAGCCAAAACAGTGGGGGAGTGTTCATATTCATCAGTCCCCCGATTTTCTGGATTATCCATACAGTCATGATAGATTTGGTCAACCAAAGAATTCGTTACGAATAGACAGTCTAGAAGACCGTCGATCGATAACAAACACGGATCAGGATCAATCGGACGATTTCGTTTGTTAGCTGGTAGAATGTGATAATCATTCTGCGAACCTTTTTCGAATGAAAGACTGATTCCCATGCTGGGAGAAAAAAGAAGCGGAGGCCTTGTTAAGAGATCAAATAAGTAGCTTGCACGTTGAGATGTCCAGCCCAAACGTAAAGCATCTTCTAGATAGACCATGCTGTTGTGGCTGTTTTGAGGTTTCGTTTTGACCAGAAATAAACATTTATCCTGAGGCGTCTCCACACCGTCAGTGTTTATTTCAATATCCAAATTAGCTTTCTTATCTTTCCGTTTTATATTGTTTTTACTTTCGATCTGCAAGTGATGCGGAGTTGAGGAGATTAGAAAATTATCAATGGATTTTATCGGTGAAGCCATTCACAACCTAAAAGTAAATCTTTCCTTATTAGTGAAATAATAAATTGAGAAAAAAGATGGTGTGTAGAAAAATATTTATTTCTCATTCATATTTGATGACAGTGTCATTTGGAAGGAATTAATTTGAAGATATTTGTAGGAAACGAAGCTGCAACTTTAAAAGAACTTGATAGGTATAAAAGCTGTTTAGCAGTACTCAGACGTACTGAGCGTGTTAACATTGTCGAAAGAAACTGTACATGATTGTCAAATTGCTCAGAAAGAAGCTCAATTTTTACTTTAAAACGTGAAGTCTCACAAGTTGGAGATGAAAGGTCCTTTAACCATAATTCTCGTAACTGAAGACCCATATTACAAAGATTATATATCTCTGTAAAAAGAAGAGAAGTAGATTCGGTTAATAAGCACACGGACTGTAATTCATTGAGCAAATTTTTATGATCTTGCACAAGATTAGCGAAAGTATATGTTTCGGGGATATTGTGATCGATGGATGTAGTAGAATAAAATTCAGGAAGACACCACTTAGATGAAAATCGAGTTCGGATAGCTTCAATTCTGTGTGCCAAGAAATCATGTAGGTTCGTGAAGATAAACAACATTTTTATACGTAGTATGATAAGATGTTGGTTGGTGGAAAAACAAGTTGAAACTGTTTTCTCTAGAGTGCTGAAATGTAAGTTTTCAAGACTCCATTTAACGTATTTAATCTGAAGGATAAGTAATACAAATTTCATTTAATCGACATAAACGCTAAAATGAAAAAAGTGATCAAAAGTGCTTAAACAACACTGTACAAGTAAAATTATGAGAATAACCGCGTCAAATTCCGTAGAAAATGACTAAAAATTTATGAACTGCTATAATTCCATCTTCATAAATGACAAACAATAAATCATACAGCTTGTGGTTATCATTCCTCCCCAAATGACAAAGTAGAGACCTAAAGAATTTGATCAAATTAGCAATCAACTTTAAGCAAACCACCAAAAACGGTCCGTAGGCGCTTTGCTCATTATCTCTAACCTTTTTGGTTTCATTAATCACGCAGATGTACATCAGCGGTGACAGATTTCATTTACTACGTTCAGCAACGTTTCCAATTTATTCAACACCTATAATAAAGATCGAAAAGTTATTAGCCATAGGCAGGCTAGCCGACTGAAAATCACTCAACTAAGTGTCTAGTCCCCCTCCCCAATTCACGACCTAACATACACTCATTCATTCTAAATTTGTGACCAATAATATCAATATTTGAATTTTTGGCTGACAGAACGTGGCCTATACGGATCAGTACAACTACAAATAACCTGGCTACATACTTGAAGACCAATTGAAGGCAGACTGTCGTAAATAAGATACCGCAGTGATTGAAACGATTGGAAACGTTAACAGTAATACTCCTTGTCATGAAAATAGGCTGGGACGAAGACCAGTGTTACACCACTATTTTTCACGTTTGAGGATTAAGGATAATTGTAGTATTTCTCTTTGGGAAAGTCATAGAACTGTGCCTTTTACGTAATTCGGGTCAGTCGCTTGTCAGAAGAGCAAATAATAGATAAAGCCGTAGGAGTAAACAATCCACGAAATAAATGCTGAAAATAAAATTCAAATAAACCCTTGGCTAGTATAGGCTTATTTATTTATTTAAACATAAATATTGGTACAAGGAAGCACCAGATACATATGCGCCATACAAATCTCATTCGATTTGTGTGAGGGCTGTGATACTGTTCAGGTGCCCGAACTGAAGCAGGTGGTTTTCTTAGGGGCCCACACCCGGAGCCTTTGACCGAAAGATCTGATCCACAAGGCAGTGGAGCATCGTAAGGAGATGCAGTCTGATGGTAGCCGGTGATCAACGATCGATTCATACGCCATTTGTTCCCTCAGGATACTGGAGCCCATGTGCACCATTGGTTTGGAATCAGGGTTTTCCAACTCCCCTAAATGAATTCGCCTTGTCCACCAACCCGGTTAAAGCGCCGGACATTCGCTTTTCGTCCTCTCAATTTCGTAAACAACACCCCCGCCACGAGAAGGCAGTGAGTAGGACTTCCCTGGCAGAGGCTATATATTCGCTGGCCATATGAGAGTATTTCGAGAGGGAGAGGTGACTCCCCACTCTCGGCCGTACCAGGGCATTTGGGGGCCTAGTATAGCCTCCAATATAGCCTACGATGAGTGGATGCAGAATGTGAGCCAAGATAAAAGATTCTAGCAAACTAGCTTATTCGCTTTTTAAAAATCAGTAGGTTGGTTACATGCAAAGTAGAACCTGGCACATGCTCATAGGTCCAACTTGCCACACTACATCAGCACAGTGAAATGAAATTATCAAGAAAAATATAACAATGTAGTAATAATATCAGTAGTACGAAAGAACAAGCATAAGCAATATGGTTTGAGAATGGATTGGTGAGAAAAGTATGAGCCAATACAGGGACTCAATAGTTAAAAAAAGATCAAGTAAATGCATCTGTGCCATCTCCATCAATTTTTAAAAAACACCACTTAGTGTCTCCAGTCACTGAAGATAACTGCATCAACCCCAACCTGGTACTATGAAGCTACCAGCAAACATCAATTCAACAGTCTTACAGACTAGTGTAGCATCTTGGTTTGGCCACCCCTAATTTTCTCCCAACCTACTACAGCAGCTAAAGTCGTTTATCGAGGTAGGTAGTGGTTGGGCACACGTAAAACACCATCACCATGATCGACCAAGGTTCATCCCACACACGCTTCATGGTTCAAGTGTAACTATAATTTGGTGGCTACTAACGTTAGACTTTAAAGTAGTTTCATGTCAAATAATTGTCTGGTGTACATTAGAAAATCTGTAATACATGGTCTTGTGAAAACATAGGACGAACCAATCATAAAATATATGAGGAAGTTCGTATGCGAACTCAGCATCGTAGTTCGAGTGAACTGAACCAAGATGTTACCAAGGTTTCAAAGTTTCATGAGAGCACAGTCATAGACATTTTTGCGATGAACAAGCTGCCCACCGCTAGATTGCAGACAAAAATTACGTTTACTTCACTTTTTATTTATGGGAATATTTCGTTGGTGAAAGATAAGGACTATACCGTGTCCGAGCATATAAAAAGGCATATCCTAGTAAATAGTTTAACATACCTGAAGCAAGAAAATGAAGACATCGTTATAAATTTCAATACTTTTTTCATCCAAAATGATATTCGCTGGCCAGTCCAAGTGATAATTAAGCCTTAAATTACCAATCAAATCAAAAGTCAGTTCCATAGGTCGATCATCAATCAGCTGATTCACACTAAGGAAATCAAATGTGAGGAAAGTCGACTCTAGGTGCAGGAGTGAATGTGATGCATGACGGTTCCTGAAGGTATCACTTAACTGACTTTGTAGATTGGCTGTGAGATCAACAAGGTCCAGCTTCTTGGCTCTTGGAAATGAAATATTCCCAAAACATTGACGACCGAAATCGTCCATATTATAACCAGCACCAAAAAGATACACTGCTCCAGCGACAGCTAAACAGTTTCCTAAAGTTCGCAACCCATTTGGCCCACGCATATTCGAGTGAAGCAAAAGCTTTAACAGCTGTTGATTAATTAACATTCTTCGTTCACAAACAAAGCGTTTTAATTGTGACTCCAGGGATTTGAGTGTGGTCCTTGATTCATCCCCTTTGTAACAATTTTTCGAGACATAAGATTCTTGGTGGCTGAGTTTAGAACGAAAATGTTGTTCGCTCAAGAGAGAATCCAAAGAGATACAAACAGGACCTGCATCAACTGTTTCGAGGAAGGAGTAGTCTCCAATTTTTTCACAAACTGCAATGAGTAAGAAGATAGCTTTAAGACCATCGACTACCTCATCCATGATAGGGAGAAACATATATGGTATGTAGGATGAGTCTAACACTTTATTTCTCGGCTTAATGGCATCAGACCAAAATTTCGGATCACCAGGTGGTATATTATAATTTATATCAGCAAACAATTTTACCAATGGGTCAGTTAAAGTCGCAGACCCTGAAAACAGCTGGACTAATGAGGAAATGAATGGATGAAATGTGATGATGAACATAGAACGCAGTACCTGAACGATGTATTGGTCAAAACCACAGTCTTCTAGCAAATCTGAAGTATGACGTAGTGCATCCAGCAAAGTTGAGGTCGTACTTGTCTGTCGTAAGTTATCAAGATTGTTTTCAATGATATCTTTTATGATCTTCGACAATATCTTAACACGGTTACACCAAGGGATTAAACAATGGTAAAGACTGATCATAGTGAAAATGCCTGGGTTACGGCTTTTACTTTCCATTTCATGCAAGAACTCATCCAGTTGAGACAAAAATCCATTCAAGCAACTAGCAAAAGAAAAGACGCAAGCATGGGATATGCAGTCCATTTTGTTAACTACGAAATGGACTACAAGTCGGATGAATAGTATATGATTATTCCAATCAACGAACTTCCGCAGCAGTGAATCTAGAGCATCATAAGATAAATGGCTAACAGATGTAAGATGTGATTTGCAACAAATATCTACAATTTGGTTCTTACATAGCTGCATAGCAAAGCATCCCCTGGCACCGAGTAGGACCCAGATAATTTCACGTATCAGTTGATACTCTGTTAAGTTATATCTATCATCACGTTGTCCAATGTAAGACAACCAATGATTTTTAAGAGATGTATCCTCCAAATCAGTTGAATACCGACTCCACCAATACTCAGGCTGCAAGTTTTTGCGGGTCAATTTAGATGGGAAGTTATGATTGGTGAAAATATGCTTGTTTGACGGAAGTTGATCCCAGCGACATGGGTATGAATAGTTAGAAGTATAATCTTGTCCCAGCTTTGTAAATTCTTCATTGGGAGAGTTGGAGTCACAGGTTTCAACTGAAGGCGAGTGAGACTGGAAATTAATGTAATTCCTGGTAAACATAAATCCAGCAGAAACTCATACGACACCTGATTCAAGGATTCAATTCATATTTGCACGT